TCACCATTGCTGCGGTCAACTCCATCCCAGTGGCGGCCGGGGCGAATGCCGTAGCGGTTGTGGTAAGAAATCATATGGAGAGGACGAGGTAAGGGGAAGGAACGGTACCCCCTCACCATTGCTGCGGTCAACTCCATCCCAGTGGCGGCCGGGGCGAATGCCGTAGCGGTTGTGGTAAGAAATCATATGGAGAGGACGAGGTAAGGGGAAGGAACGGTACCCCCTCACCATTGCTGCGGTCAACTCCATCCCAGTGGCGGCCGGGGCGAATGCCGTAGCGGTTGTGGTAAGAAATCATATGGAGAGGACGAGGTAAGGGGAAGGAACGGTACCCACTCACCATTGCTGCGGTCAACGCCATCCCAGTGGCGGCCGGGGCGAATGCCGTAGCGGTTGTGGTAAGAAATCATATGGAGAGGACGAGGTAAGGGGAAGGAACGGTACCCACTCACCATTGCTGCGGTCAACGCCATCCCAGTGGCGGCCGGGGCGAATGCCGTAGCGGTTGTGGTAAGAAATCATATGGAGAGGACGAGGTAAGGGGAAGGAACGGTACCCACTCACCATTGCTGCGGTCAACGCCATCCCAGTGGCGGCCGGGGCGAATGCCGTAGCGGTTGTGGTAAGAAATCATATGGAGAGGACGAGGTAAGGGGAAGGAACGGTACCCACTCACCATTGCTGCGGTCAACGCCATCCCAGTGGCGGCCGGGGCGAATGCCGTAGCGGTTGTGGTAAGAAATCATATGGAGAGGACGAGGTAAGGGGAAGGAACGGTACCCACTCACCATTGCTGCGGTCAACGCCATCCCAGTGGCGGCCGGGGCGAATGCCGTAGCGGTTGTGGTAAGAAATCATATGGAGAGGACGAGGTAAGGGGAAGGAACGGTACCCACTCACCATTGCTGCGGTCAACGCCATCCCAGTGGCGGCCGGGGCGAATGCCGTAGCGGTTGTGGTAAGAAATCATATGGAGAGGACGAGGTAAGGGGAAGGAACGGTACCCACTCACCATTGCTGCGGTCAACGCCATCCCAGTGGCGGCCGGGGCGAATGCCGTAGCGGTTGTGGTAAGAAATCATATGGAGAGGACGAGGTAAGGGGAAGGAACGGTACCCACTCACCATTGCTGCGGTCAACGCCATCCCAGTGGCGGCCGGGGCGAATGCCGTAGCGGTTGTGGTAAGAAATCATATGGAGAGGACGAGGTAAGGGGAAGGAACGGTACCCACTCACCATTGCTGCGGTCAACGCCATCCCAGTGGCGGCCGGGGCGAATGCCGTAGCGGTTGTGGTAAGAAATCATATGGAGAGGACGAGGTAAGGGGAAGGAACGGTACCCACTCACCATTGCTGCGGTCAACGCCATCCCAGTGGCGGCCGGGGCGAATGCCGTAGCGGTTGTGGTAAGAAATCATATGGAGAGGACGAGGTAAGGGGAAGGAACGGTACCCACTCACCATTGCTGCGGTCAACTCCATCCCAGTGGCGGCCGGGGCGAATGCCGTAGCGGTTGTGGTAAGAAATCATATGGAGAGGACGAGGTAAGGGGAAGGAACGGTACCCACTCACCATTGCTGGGGTCAACTCCATCCCAGTGGCGGCCGGGGCGAATGCCGTAGCGGTTGTGGTAAGAAATCATATGGAGAGGACGAGGTAAGGGGAAGGAACGGTACCCACTCACCATTGCTGCGGTCAACTCCATCCCAGTGGCGGCCGGGGCGAATGCCGTAGCGGTTGTGGTAAGAAATCATATGGAGAGGACGAGGTAAGGGGAAGGAACGGTACCCACTCACCATTGCTGCGGTCAACTCCATCCCAGTGGCGGCCGGGGCGAATGCCGTAGCGGTTGTGGTAAGAAATCATATGGAGAGGACGAGGTAAGGGGAAGGAACGGTACCCACTCACCATTGCTGCGGTCAACTCCATCCCAGTGGCGGCCGGGGCGAATGCCGTAGCGGTTGTGGTAAGAAATCATATGGAGAGGACGAGGTAAGGGGAAGGAACGGTACCCACTCACCATTGCTGCGGTCAACTCCATCCCAGTGGCGGCCGGGGCGAATGCCGTAGCGGTTGTGGTAAGAAATCATATGGAGAGGACGAGGTAAGGGGAAGGAACGGTACCCACTCACCATTGCTGCGGTCAACTCCATCCCAGTGGCGGCCGGGGCGAATGCCGTAGCGGTTGTGGTAAGAAATCATATGGAGAGGACGAGGTAAGGGGAAGGAACGGTACCCACTCACCATTGCTGCGGTCAACTCCATCCCAGTGGCGGCCGGGGCGAATGCCGTAGCGGTTGTGGTAAGAAATCCTATGGAGAGGACGAGGTAAGGGGAAGGAACGGTACCCACTCACCATTGCTGCGGTCAACGCCATCCCAGTGGCGGCCGGGGCGAATGCCGTAGCGGTTGTGGTAAGAAATCCTATGGAGAGGACGAGGTAAGGGGAAGGAACGGTACCCACTCACCATTGCTGCGGTCAACGCCATCCCAGTGGCGGCCGGGGCGAATGCCGTAGCGGTTGTGGTAAGAAATCCTATGGAGAGGACGAGGTAAGGGGAAGGAACGGTACCCACTCACCATTGCTGCGGTCAACGCCATCCCAGTGGCGGCCGGGGCGAATGCCGTAGCGGTTGTGGTAAGAAATCCTATGGAGAGGACGAGGTAAGGGGAAGGAACGGTACCCACTCACCATTGCTGCGGTCAACGCCATCCCAGTGGCGGCCGGGGCGAATGCCGTAGCGGTTGTGGTAAGAAATCCTATGGAGAGGACGAGGTAAGGGGAAGGAACGGTACCCACTCACCATTGCTGCGGTCAACGCCATCCCAGTGGCGGCCGGGGCGAATGCCGTAGCGGTTGTGGTAAGAAATCCTATGGAGAGGACGAGGTAAGGGGAAGGAACGGTACCCACTCACCATTGCTGCGGTCAACGCCATCCCAGTGGCGGCCGGGGCGAATGCCGTAGCGGTTGTGGTAAGAAATCCTATGGAGAGGACGAGGTAAGGGGAAGGAACGGTACCCACTCACCATTGCTGCGGTCAACGCCATCCCAGTGGCGGCCGGGGCGAATGCCGTAGCGGTTGTGGTAAGAAATCCTATGGAGAGGACGAGGTAAGGGGAAGGAACGGTACCCACTCACCATTGCTGCGGTCAACGCCATCCCAGTGGCGGCCGGGGCGAATGCCGTAGCGGTTGTGGTAAGAAATCCTATGGAGAGGACGAGGTAAGGGGAAGGAACGGTACCCACTCACCATTGCTGCGGTCAACGCCATCCCAGTGGCGGCCGGGGCGAATGCCGTAGCGGTTGTGGTAAGAAATCCTATGGAGAGGACGAGGTAAGGGGAAGGAACGGTACCCACTCACCATTGCTGCGGTCAACGCCATCCCAGTGGCGGCCGGGGCGAATGCCGTAGCGGTTGTGGTAAGAAATCCTATGGAGAGGACGAGGTAAGGGGAAGGAACGGTACCCACTCACCATTGCTGCGGTCAACGCCATCCCAGTGGCGGCCGGGGCGAATGCCGTAGCGGTTGTGGTAAGAAATCCTATGGAGAGGACGAGGTAAGGGGAAGGAACGGTACCCACTCACCATTGCTGCGGTCAACGCCATCCCAGTGGCGGCCGGGGCGAATGCCGTAGCGGTTGTGGTAAGAAATCCTATGGAGAGGACGAGGTAAGGGGAAGGAACGGTACCCACTCACCATTGCTGCGGTCAACGCCATCCCAGTGGCGGCCGGGGCGAATGCCGTAGCGGTTGTGGTAAGAAATCCTATGGAGAGGACGAGGTAAGGGGAAGGAACGGTACCCACTCACCATTGCTGCGGTCAACGCCATCCCAGTGGCGGCCGGGGCGAATGCCGTAGCGGTTGTGGTAAGAAATCCTATGGAGAGGACGAGGTAAGGGGAAGGAACGGTACCCACTCACCATTGCTGCGGTCAACGCCATCCCAGTGGCGGCCGGGGCGAATGCCGTAGCGGTTGTGGTAAGAAATCCTATGGAGAGGACGAGGTAAGGGGAAGGAACGGTACCCACTCACCATTGCTGCGGTCAACGCCATCCCAGTGGCGGCCGGGGCGAATGCCGTAGCGGTTGTGGTAAGAAATCCTATGGAGAGGACGAGGTAAGGGGAAGGAACGGTACCCACTCACCATTGCTGCGGTCAACGCCATCCCAGTGGCGGCCGGGGCGAATGCCGTAGCGGTTGTGGTAAGAAATCCTATGGAGAGGACGAGGTAAGGGGAAGGAACGGTACCCACTCACCATTGCTGCGGTCAACGCCATCCCAGTGGCGGCCGGGGCGAATGCCGTAGCGGTTGTGGTAAGAAATCCTATGGAGAGGACGAGGTAAGGGGAAGGAACGGTACCCACTCACCATTGCTGCGGTCAACGCCATCCCAGTGGCGGCCGGGGCGAATGCCGTAGCGGTTGTGGTAAGAAATCCTATGGAGAGGACGAGGTAAGGGGAAGGAACGGTACCCACTCACCATTGCTGCGGTCAACGCCATCCCAGTGGCGGCCGGGGCGAATGCCGTAGCGGTTGTGGTAAGAAATCCTATGGAGAGGACGAGGTAAGGGGAAGGAACGGTACCCACTCACCATTGCTGCGGTCAACGCCATCCCAGTGGCGGCCGGGGCGAATGCCGTAGCGGTTGTGGTAAGAAATCCTATGGAGAGGACGAGGTAAGGGGAAGGAACGGTACCCACTCACCATTGCTGCGGTCAACGCCATCCCAGTGGCGGCCGGGGCGAATGCCGTAGCGGTTGTGGTAAGAAATCCTATGGAGAGGACGAGGTAAGGGGAAGGAACGGTACCCACTCACCATTGCTGCGGTCAACGCCATCCCAGTGGCGGCCGGGGCGAATGCCGTAGCGGTTGTGGTAAGAAATCCTATGGAGAGGACGAGGTAAGGGGAAGGAACGGTACCCACTCACCATTGCTGCGGTCAACGCCATCCCAGTGGCGGCCGGGGCGAATGCCGTAGCGGTTGTGGTAAGAAATCCTATGGAGAGGACGAGGTAAGGGGAAGGAACGGTACCCACTCACCATTGCTGCGGTCAACGCCATCCCAGTGGCGGCCGGGGCGAATGCCGTAGCGGTTGTGCGGGGCGGACACACGGCGCTTGAGCCAGCTGTGGGGCGGGATGGCCTGTGGCACCGTGAAGCCCGACGCCTGCATGGCTGGGTCACGACTCAGGTCTTCTAACAGGGCGTCTGCTGATATGTTGCTCTGCGTGAATAGGAGGGGATTGGGGGTTGGAGAGGACAAAGGGTAAGGAGACCGCCCGTGGCATTATGCAGAGGAGGGGTAAGCGGTTGGTCTGCGGTCAGATGCACCTGCCTTGGCTCCCCATCCCACCTCTCCTTGACGAGATGCGTCACAGGGTCGCCAAAGTGACTCTTGAGTCGACTCAAAACACCCCCCACCTCACCCCACTCCACTCCACTTCATCACCCCACCGCACCTCATGACCCCATGACACCTCCACCCAACCCCACCCCACCCCACTGCACCCCACCTTACCTCACCCCAACACGCACCTTGACGAGATGTGCCATGGGGTCGCCGAAGCGCACGACATTCTTGAGCATGCGATCACGCTCCTCGTCGTTCCTGCAGGGAGTCACGGGAACACGAGGACAGGGGGGCGAGGGGACACGGGGAACATGGGGAACATGGGGAACATGGGGGGAACACAGAGTACAGAGTGGCAGGAGTTGGGAGGGAAGAGAAAATGAGGCGATGCACTTGCCGATGGCCTCGCACCCGTTGCAACGGATGGGAAGGAGAACAGACGGGGAGAGCAGTGAGGACCAACGAGGAGGATGCGCCAGAAACGAAGTAGGTTGTTCTGACGAACTAGGGAAGCACATGAGGTAGGCCGGTCCACGATAACACTCACTCATAGGTGGCAAAAGAGCGAGCAGCGACGGCATCCAAGTCAGCCTGCTGCCTCTCCCGTTTCACCAACACACTAGTGAGCACAATAACGAGTACACATTGTGCTCACTCGTAGGCAGCGAAGGGGCGTGCAGCCACGGCATCCAGGTCAGCCTGCTGCCTCTCCGCCTCCCTCTTCTGCACCAGACCCTTGCCCCACTCGGGTGGCGGCAGCACCTGCAAGTGTAGAACAGATTGTAAGAGCATGATACACCCAAATAGACAAACGCACATCAAAGAGAAAAATACAGAGGGTTCTGTACTGTCTCCTGTCTCTCCGCCTCCTTCTTCTGCCAAATCGGGAGGGGGCAGCACCTGAAAGAACGAAGCAGATGAGAGGCGAATAGCAGGACACGTTATGGATCCAAGTGGGCCCTGTACAAGTGCCATGGGTTTATGGTTATCAATTGCATAGTCGAGCAACCAATCAGGCATTCAAGCCAGCTAGCCACGTATCCATAGACCTACCAATCAGCCAGCCCTTGTCTGTCCCAGCACGGGGCCATCAGCTTCATGCGCGAATACTGAGAGAAGAGCTAGAATGAATGAGGCGACTCAGAAGTGAGATAGGCAAGTGTAAGGGAGCCTCGCGCCGCGTTTTGCGCGAACGGCTTCTGACCAAACCCCCACGACAAGGAGTACCACGCTTCTCTGAAAGTGCCCTGCTCTTCTGAGAAGGCCCTGACGCCTTGCAACAACAAATGTGCCCCCCCCGGCCGGCTCATTCATCCCGCTCCACTCTCCTAAACCGCACTCAAATAAGACAAGGCGCAACATAGATGCCCAAATGCACTCCCTCCCTCCCCATTCTTCCTCACTCTCCTCCGCCACACGCCTCTCCCCCCGCCCCTCACCAATACCACCACCCCTCACCCCTCCCCGCCCCTCCCCCATCCCCTCCCCCCACCCCTGCCCCCTCCCCTGCCCTTGACTCACGCGGCTCTTCTTGGCCTTCTCCTCCGCCATGATGGCCTCCAGATTGCTCACTCGCTTGCCTGCCACGCACACGCTCATTCACGCACACAAGCATGCAAGCACACATGCACACATGCACACAAGCACACAAGCACACAAGCACGCAAGCACACAAGCACACAAGCACACATGCACACAAGCACACAAGCACACAAGCACACAAGCACACAAGCACACAAGCACACAAGCACGCAAGCACACAAGCACACAAGCACACAAGCACACAAGCACACAAGCACGCAAGCACACAAGCACACATGCACACAAGCACACATGCACACAAGCACACAAGCACACAAGCACACATGCACACAAGCACACAAGCACAGATGAGAATCCCCTGCAGCATCTCTATCACCCGCCTGAATCTGTCATTACTGTCGTCAAGGAAGCGCGGCAACATTTGATTCACCGCAAATGTTCGCATTCGCAACACTTCACTTGAAGCAGCACTTCACTTGAAGCAACACTTCACTTGAAGCAACACCTGCTTCTGCTTGCTTCCCACGCCGCACCTGCTTTGTCGCGGATAACTGTCTGCGCCACCACTGCATGGATTCCTTCCATACCAATCCGCCACAACCTCCCCCTTAACTGCCCTCCCACACGCACCTGCTTTGTCACGGTACACTGTCTGCGCCCCTCTGCCACTGACGGACGGATCCAGCTGGGCGAACCTGGGGGGCCGCGAGGTGGAGAAGAGAGAGAAGCGGAGCGGCAAAGAGGTTGAGAGGGCAAGGGGAGGAGAGGGGACGAGAGGGCAGCAGAGGGGAGGAAGGCAAATGAACATATCCCACCTTGCCAGATGAACCTACCCCACACTCCCCACTCCCACTCCCCAACCCAATCCCCACTCCCCACTCCACCCTCCCCAATCCCCACTCCCACTCCTCACTCCCACTCCCCGCTCCCCACTCCCCACTCCCAACTCCCCAATCTCCCTTCCGTGAGCCTCGCCCCTGCATGCGCCATCACATCCGTGATGCTGCTCCACTCCCCCACATTCAAACAACACCCTTCCTCCCCCTACTTATTCCCTGCCCTCCCCCCAGTCTCCCTCCCCCTCAACTCGCCTCGACTTGCATTCGGTTCTCCTTCAATCTCTTCTCCTCTACTCCGCCTCCCCCATGACCTCCCTCCCACTCTCAGCACCGCCAACAAGACATGCTTACCCCAAAACCCCTCTCCTCTCTCCCACTACCCAAGTCTCACCTGGCCTCGTCCTTGGCTCTCTTCTCCTCTGCCTCCTTCATCACCTCTCTCCCGCTCCCCTGCCTGCCGGAAAAACCTACCCTTCACCCAATATCCCGCCCGCACACCCTTCCACTTTCCCCCCTCCCCAATACCCAAGCCTCACCTTGCCTCATCCTTGAGTCTCTTCTCCCCCCCACCAGAAATTCCCGCCTTCCCCCAGTGCCCTCTTCCCTCAACCCCCCCAATTTCTCCCACAGTCTCACCTGGCCTCGTCCTTGGCTCTTTTCTCTTCTGCCTCTGCCATCACCTCCTTGCCGCTCCTCAGCCCTGCCGAAAATACCTATCATTACCACAGTCCCCTCTTTCTCAACCCCATAGCCCCCATCCCCCTTCCTCTCACCTGGCCTCGTCCTTGGCTCTTTTCTCTTTTGCCTCCGCCATCACCTCCTTTCCGCTCCTCAGCCCAGCCAGGCTCCCATCCATCATTCGTTCTGCCTTCCCCCCTCCCCCCTTCCACATGCCCCCCCCACCCTGCCCTGCCCCCCCTGCCTGTTTCCCCGATCCCTTTCGCGGCGGGGACAAGTCCGGAGAGTCTTGTCTGGCTCGGCGACGAGGAGGGGAGAGGTCTGGCGAGTCTTGTCTGGCTCGGCGACGAGGGGGAGAGAGGTCTGGAGTGGCCTGCCTGGCTTGGCGTCAGGGTGGAGACAGGTCCGGGGACGCTTGTCTGATTTGGCGACAAGGCGGGGACAGGTCCGGTGAGCCCTGTCTGGTTTGGCGCCGGGGCAGGGAGAGGTTTGGGGACGGGTCCTTCCTATTCTTGCAGGGAGGGGACAGGTCCGGGGAGTCATGCCTGGCTCGGGGAGGAGACAGATCTGGTGAATCGTTTCTGGTTCGGCGTGGGGGAGACAGGTCCGGGGTGCCCTTTCTCCCCCTTCGAGGAGGAGACAGGTCCGGCGTGTCGTGCCTGGCTCGGCGAGGGGCGGAGAGATCAGAAGATTGGGGTTGTCTCTTCCGAGGCGGGGACAGGTCCGGTGAGCCCCTTGTGCCCCTCCGAGGGGGAGACAGGTCAGGCGAATCCCCTCTCCTCCCTCCACCACCATCTCTCCCCTTTTTCCCCCTATCCCTCGTGTAGAAAGTAGATTTTTTAGACGTCTCAAAAATCTACTTTCTACACGTGGCTTCTCTATTTCTGGTTCCTGTAGATTTCTGCTAGCGTGGAAGTTACCTTGTCGCTTACGTCGAAGACTGATTCAATCGAGGCTCCAACCTGTCGCGGTTTGACATTTTCGATCCTGGTTACCAACCCTCCCGAAGACCCCCTTTTGGTTCTGAAGGACTGGATCAGAGTCTCTGGCTCACCTCGAGATTTCACGCCATTTCCGCCTCGCCATTGCATCCATCTGCCTGGTTAGCTCAGCTTTAGCGTAGAGTACTTTAGTCAGCTTGTTCATATCAGATGCTTAGCTTCAGGCTTGTTTGTACTGATGAAGGTTCGAAAGAACCGAAACTAGTTTACTCAAGTTCTGATTTTAAGTTGACGATTTTGTTCATTCTGGCTCTCTAATACGCTCTAGCTCACAAGCTTTCCAGGCTCTTTCATTTTTTCATTTCATGGAGTTTGCTTCGTCGTTCTAAGATACAATTTAAGTTGATGGACATAAGACCTCCGCAGCCCACCTGTTTAACACTGACAGCACCTTAACCAAATAATACGGTTGTGGCCAGAGGCTCTACATCTTCCGACGATGATTCATCCGACTCAGAGGTTTTTCACGAGGCCTCCCGCTTTTTCGTCTTTCGTGCTACCAAGCGTCAGCGAGAGGAATCTAACAATTTCCTTCAGCTGGAAAACGGAAAGCTTGAGTTTACTCCAATTCCATATCGACCCGCTCATCCCAAGACATTACTACGTCAAGCATTTAAAACGCCAAGAATAATAGCTTCCGCGTCACCTGCAACGACTACTAACGCAGACGCTGCAGGTGTTAATGTGATCGAGGGAGTTAACATCTCCCAACATACACTTGAAGCGGCTTTTTTGCCAGAAGGAAACAGACAAGATTCATGTCCTATGCCCCAAGATCAAGGACTCTGTTTTGGAAATGATCTATGTCCTGCTCCTTTTAAAAAATGGCAACAAGAAGCTATTTCGAAAGCTACCAAGTCCTATGCTACATACTTGAGCCTCAAGCAACAGGTCTCTAAAATGAAGTTAATTGACTGCCGGAAGGAGTTGCTGCACAGCATCAAAACCAAAGCCGTTCAGTTCCAGACCAGCAATGAGGCTATTAAGAAGGTCGCTGATGATAAGTTCTCTTCTCTGCATAATGAGGCTCTTGTACAACAGCAGAAAGATTTCATTGAAGCTAAGGAGGAGTTAATGACTATCGCTTTTAGTGAAGCCAACGGTGCTGTTTCTCTCTTGGATGGACAAATTTCCAATTATTAATGGCATTAAAGCCATGGAGGAGGATTCCAGGCGAAACAAGGCTGTTGAAGTGATGGAATTCTTCAAAGGAAAGCCCATTCAAGAAGCTATTACTGCAATTGAGATTCAGCAGACCAAGTCATTCATGGACTTTCATGAGAATCAGCTGAGAAGAAACGAGGAATGAGAATGACTAAGGGAAAGTTGGGTACAAAATGTAAACCCTAGAAAACTGTACCCCATATGTGCTACCCCACTATAGCCTACAGTAGCTATGTCATATAAATCTGACACACCCCCATAGGCAAAGTGGGGGAGAACAAGGGGTCACAAGACCAGTCAAGCAAAGCAAAGCAAGCTCAGGGTGGATCACAAAGTCACCACACATTCCGAGCACAAGTTCAAGGCCACAAGGCCAGTTCACATGCAGGATTACATATATATATATGGCTAGACAAGCAAGAGCAGGTGTATATATATATGCAACAGTACAAACAAAGTCAAGGGGTGAGCAAGTGAGGCAAGGTAGGCACAAGACCCAGCTGAGTACAGAAGCGCTGATGATCACAAGGCGCAAGTGCCTTGGTGAAGATATCAGCAGTGTTGGCCTGAGAGGCCATGTACGCAAGCCGCAGCTGACCACGCTGCTGTAGCTCACGAGCAAGGAAGTAGCGGAGAGCAATGTGCTTCGTTCTGTGCTCCAGTCTCTGCTCTCGACACAAGGCCAGCATGGCCTTGTTGTCTACGTACAGCACTGGAGGAGAACGAGGCGGCTCTCCGAGGTCAGTCAGCAGGTAGGTGAGCCAGCGAAGCTCCTGTGCAGCCATGGCCCCGGCGTAGATCTCAGCCTCACAACTGGAGCCGAGAACAGAAGACGAGCGGGTAGCCCGCCACGAAACAGAGCCGGAACCAAGGCTGAAGGTGTAACCCTGTGACGACCGCTGCGTAGCCTGGTCGTCAGCCCAAGAAGCGTCTGCGTGCCCAGTGAGGACCACTGGGCTCTGCCCTCCAAGCACAAGCCCCATGCCCGACGTACTGCACAAATAACGCAACACCCTCTTCGCTGCAGCCATGTGCTCCGGTCTGTGTCTCCCAGGAGCAACATAGCGTGCGAGAATGCTAAGAGGGTATGCGAGGTCAGGTCGTGTGCAGGTCATCAGGTACATGAGGCAGCCAACAAGCTCTGGGTACGGGCCACTCGACTCTACGGACTCATCCGAAGGCAGAGCTGAGAGCGAGTGGCGAGTAGGCAGAGGAGTGGCCTGAGGCGAGGAGTACGTGAAGCCGAAGCGCTGAAGGACTTGCTGCACCATGTGTGACTGAGTCAGGGTAATGGTGCGGCGTGCTCTGTCCCGGGTGATCTGCAAGCCAAGGTAGCTGCGCAGTTCACCCAGGTCTGTGCAAGTGTGTCTCTTCTGCAGCTCGGACTTCACGTGGGCGAGTCCAGCAGTGTCAGCTGTGGCAAAGACCAAGTCGTCGACGTACACGAGGATGTAGAACGGCGGCAAAGAAATGTCGGTGCGCAGAAACAGCGACGGGTCGGCAGTAGAGGGAGCAAACCCAAGAGCCGCAAGTGTAGTCCTCAGTGTGTCGTGCCACTCACGCGGTGCCTGGCGGAGACCGTAGACTGGCCGCCGGAGGCTCCACTGGGTGCCAGGAGGAAAAGACCCAGTGAAGCCAGGTGGGCGACGCAGCCAGATCTCCTCGTGCAGGCTGCCCTGCAAGAAAGCAGTGCTGAAGTCAAGAGAGTGCAGCTCGTAGTCGCGGTGAGCAGCTATGTGCAGCAGTACCCAAAGAGTGGTCATCTTCGGGGTGGGAGAGAAGGTCTGAAAGTAGTCAACTCCCTGCCGCTGACTGAAGCCACGAGCCACGTAACGTGCCTTGAAGACAGGTGGAGAACCCGGCGGTCGCTTCACCCTGAAAATCCACATGCCACTGACGATGTTCGCCCCAGGCGGGGGAACCTCGTCAACGTAGGTGCCTGTGGACTTCCAGGAAGCCATCTCTGTGTCCATAGCTGCCTGCCACTGAGAGGATTAGGGACCCTCTATCGCCTCCGCGTAAGAGCGCGGAGTCGGGATGTCAAGTGCATCCGGGTCTCCCTCAGGGGTAAGCAGTACGGACACGAGATGAGGTGAAGCAGCAGCCAAACACTGGAACTCCTCCTGCCTGTCCTCAAGGACGTCCGTGCCAAGGGCACACTCACCCCCGACGGACGGAGGACAGACAGACTCAGACTCAACGACAAGACTAGCAGCGTAGTCTAGACGACAGCGAGCAGCAAAGTTGACGAGCTCAGCAACTAGGGCAGACGCAGCAGTGGACTCAAAGGAAGGGTCAGTGACGACAGCAGCAAGGAGACGCGTGACAGTAGGACTGGCAGCACGAAGAGAGTCCGACTCCGGGTCGGGAAGAGCAGGAAGAGAGGACTCAGGAGGAGAAGGCAAAGGGGCACGCAGAGGAGCAGTGGACGGACGCAGAGACATCCGGTGCGTGCCAGGGACAGGAGGAGGACGCGGCGACTCCAGACACAGCAGGGACAGCACCAGTACCCCCAGCGGCAGCACCAGCGCCAGCAGCACCTCCAGCTCCAGTACCTCCAGCAGCACCAGTAGCACCCCCAGCAGGACCGCCTCCAGGACCGACAGTAGTAGCCTCAGCGCCAACACCCTCAGCAGCTCCAGCTCCAGGCGTACCCGCAGGCCCAGCAGCTCCAGTACTCCCAGTACGAGCACCTCCGGGACCCGCGGCACCAGCACCCGCAGCAGTCGAAGAACCTCCAGCTCCAGCAGCACGCCTCCAGCGTCGGGCAAACCACTCTCGCAGCTCCTGTGGAGAGAGTGGCTCCCGCCGAGATGAAGCACCCAGAGAACCTCCAGGCTCAGCACCGCCAGACGCCACACGAGCAGGCCCAGCTCCCTCAGGCTCCGCACCCCCAGGCTCAGCACCTCCAAGCGTATCACCCCCAGGCTCAGCACCCCCAGTAGTAGCACCCCCAGGCTCAGCACCCCCAGGCTCAGCACCCCCAGTAGTAGCACCCTCAGGCTCAGCACCCCCAGGCGTAGCACCCACACGCTCAGCACCCCCAGAGTCAGCACCCCCAGGCTCAGCACCCTCAGCAGCACCAGAGTCACCAGTAACCTCGACAGGCTCGACTGCGTCTACCTGGGACACACCTGAAGGGGCAGGACCCTGAGGGGGGAGGGGGTCTACCGGGGGGGGACCTGGCACAAGGAAGAGCGGTGGCGGGGGGAGGGACGGAGTGCGGTAGGGGAAGAGGCGGTAGTAGAGGACCGACTCGTCAAACGTGACGTCCTGGGAGGACAGAACACAGCGAGAGGTGGGGTGGTAGAACTGTCACCCTGGCGCGTCAGGGGGGAAGCCAAGGAAGACGCAAGGAGCAGCACGAGGGGACAGCTT